TTAGCACAATGTTTTCTAATGTAGACTTTTTTTATGCATACGCATGTACCATGTATATAAGAGAAAACGTTATTAGAAGTCTTAGGTATATACCTTGGAAGATCCTTTTATTTTTTGCTTGCAATTTCTACCCATAACTTCTTGATCATAGATAAATTTGAGTGACACCCTGTGTAACACATTTGTGTTAAGCTTGCTAGAGGCACAAGTACAACAGACATGGAGGGACATTTCAGCGTGACCCCTTACCACCGAAAACAGCTCTTAGTCTGCTCTCTTGTCATAATCTTCTGTACCCTAAAGATCTTTCTATCAGTGAACTGAAAGACAACTTTGATAACTATATGTTTTCTACAAAATATCAGAAATTACCATGTCAGAAGAAATTTAGGTCTGTGAAAACCAAAACAACTCTGCGTTATGGTATATACTTTTTGCCCCACTAATTCTCCCTTCCCTGCTCAACCAGGTCAGATGATTCCCGGTGAAATACTAGGATGAGTTTTATTATAACTACTTAGCACCTTGATGTAGGAATCAATCTCGATCTGTTCCCAGTGCTCTAGCAATACCACTTTTCTGAGATCAGTGAGGGCTTATCTTCTGATGGCAGACAGCACAACGTTTGCCACCTTTGAAATGAAAGGAAACTTATTTCAAGCCAGCTGGTTCTGAACACGGTCAGATAAATTCAGTCAAAAGGCTCATGTCCTCTGAGCTGTGAAACATTAGCAAACATATACTTTAGATTTCAGAAACATAATATGTGAGAGTCTTCTGTCCATGTTCTTGGCGACTTCTTTTAACTCATGCTGTTAAAACATTTCTACCAGGTTTCTCAATGTGTTTTGTCAGAGTAACCAACAATAATTTAAGTTTTATAAATCACTAAAATCAAAGGTAGTAAAAAACCAATCCAGAAGCACTCCATAATCATTAAGCTAGGGGGTCAGGTTTAGAGCCCCAAAACACCTTTATCTAGATCCACTGCATGTTGATTGAATATTAAATAAATGCGTGACTAATAAAACCATAGGCTTTTTTTTTTTTTTAGCAGAGAAGGGAACTTAGATCTTGGAGATAATCTATAGTGGAGGAACCTGAGGTAAAGAAAAAGTACATGACTGTCTTAGTGAGTCCCTACCTCATTGGTATAGTAGAATCTAGACCAGTGGTATTCAACCTTTCTCATCTCATGGCACACATAAACTAAATTAATAAAATTCTACAACACACCAAAAAATATATTTTTTGCCAGTCTGACAAAAAACAAAAAATAGATGTGATTTTGATTCATTCACACCAGACAGCTCTTGTGCTGGCTGTTGTCATTGTTTTATTTGACAGTCTAAGGGGAGAGAGGTCAGTGCCCCTGACTAAATAGGTATTGCATGCTTTAAAAATTCTTGCGGCTCACCAGTGTGTCTCTTGCAGCCCACCAGTTGAAAATTGCTGATCTAAACGAGATTACTTTGCTCCCAGTCCTTGGGAATTGCCATTAAACACTGCTTTCCTTTCTCCCTTTCTGGAACATTCACTTCCTTTGTCCTTGAGACATTTAACTTAGAGACAAATATAATTTAACTTTATCCCTTAGAGATGCGTGATCTTTCTTGCACGTCACTGCAGAAATGTTTTCAGTGAGGACACAGAGCTTGCTCAGTGCCCGTGCATTTGGACAGAAAGCCAGAAGGACAGAACCTTCTAGCGTAGCAGTTTAATCGAAATTCGTTGAGCTGAACTCAGGAAGCACATTTTCCTTTTTCTGTACCTTGATGTTTTAGTCTCTGTTTTAATCTTTTGACCCTTCCTTTAGTCTCTTGTCTTCTATTTCTTCCTCTTTTTCACTAAGAAAAAGTATCCCCCGTTTTCCTGGACCATGTTCTGGTTCTGCAGTAGTTAACAAGACCAGACATTATCCTCGCCAC